CCTTCTTAAGCCTAACAGTGTCACAATCTCACAACAACTGTCCCGTCAATGCTTGACAACTGTGCAGACACTTCTAACACAGCTTTGGAGAAAGATAGGCTACATACAATCTCCTTACCGTTACGTCTTTCTTAGGCCAGCCACGTTCATACTTTGCGACACTGGAGAATCAGAGAGCAGGATAACTGCTGAATGTGCTGGGAGAGTGCGCTCGAAAAAAGTATAAGAGGCCGCTCATACTTTGTGATAACATTCTGAGTGTGCAACTAGGAAAGTAAATGTATAATGCAGCGTTTCGAGCGCACGCCAGCGCTACAGTCTCTCAGAACGATCATGTACGCTCAAAACTCTCAGGCAAAGTATGAACGCACTCTAAGTTATCACTAAAATGATTAACTATGGCTGAACCGAAAGCTGACCTCAGCAGGACTCGAACCCGCAGCTCACGGTTACCAGGCGAATGCGCTATCACCAAGGCTGCCTTGCACTCGTTCAGCTCAATGGCTTTCACGCCACAGAATAGGAACACTGACACGTTTGACCTAGCGGGCCATTTAGACGATAGAGGTAGTGAAGGCGCGAGGCTGAATGCTTTGGCTACCGCAATCAAGTTAAGGAACTATATCGTGTCGACTGTGATAATCGGCGAACTGCGAAAAAGTGGAGAGTGCTCGTATCGGGAGAAGCCGCGCTAAATGGGGTGTGATTCAGAATGACCGGACATTTCGCGTACACTACCACGGTCTCCCTTGCAACCACCTAATTAGATGACATGCTAAAGCGCTACCGCTTTGAACTATAATAATTTGGTCCTGAAGCGAAAGACTCGCGCCTCACAGCGCCTCTATCGCCGCCCTTGCCGCTTCTGTACGTACTCAATATTTTGGAGCATATTCTTCCAAATTTGCAGAATCTCTTCATTAATATTTATACTTTGCACGAATCCTCCCAATCTCCGCATTTTCGAATTCTTCAGTGTAACAATGTATGATCTGCTAATTGGTGCTGCGGCCCTCTTCTTTCGGTACGGCGCATTAATGAGGAAGACACCATCTGGTCATTGCGAAATTTTGAAACAAAACTGTAGAAGCAAAACTGTTACCATTCTGGTAGCGAATCGTCTTCGATAGTTCCGTGTTGCCAATTAGAGATCTCCGTCCGCCATTGTTCACCTTTCGATATTGCAACCTCAACTAGTTTTTCTACAGCGTCCTCTTCCACACCGACGAATCGCGTGTACCACCTATCATGTTGTGTTTACAACCTATTTAGCTCTCTTCATATTAATTAGTTCGACATGGAGGGGGACGACACAAACCTTTTATAATGTCGTGCTTTGCCTTCAAAGTGTACGATCGGCATGTGCCACACAAGACAAAATGTGCATGTCTTTGTTTGCTCAGAAGGAAGTTGAAATTGTGAAGAAACAGCGATTCCTAATTGCTGATCGCTGCCGGTTTCTTAAAATATAATTTTAGAGGAAAGAGAGTAATTATTCAGGACACAAAGGAAATAGAGACGAATGAGTGCAGCATCAAAGCGTAAAAAAGAGATATCGCAAATGGAAGACTAGAAAGTGTTGAATCAAAGAGGTCGCCTTGATTTGTTCAATTTTACCTTGTCCCAACGCACCGCGGCCTAATAGTATGAAGCGGCGCTAACGTAGTGGGGGGGGGAGGGGGAAGGAGGAAGGGAGGGACCACTCACCAACTCTGCATCTCTTTTCCAAGAAGGCTTAGGTATAGAGCGCAGACTACCAGAGTAGCAAAGGGATGGCCTTCCGTAACGGCTAGTTTTCATTGAGGCGCTTCAAACTTCGCGTCGACACGCGACGACGCGCTACAATTTAACAGCATTCCAACCATGCATACGCAAATGCAGCCGCGAACGGGAATAAAACGGTGTTTTTAGAGCCGCCTGTGTTGTGAAACAGTAAAGGGACAGTTGGGGACGTGCCATCATACAAGCTGGTACTCTCCCAAAACCCTAGTGGTCAGTGCCCCTCCTGTTCCCCAATACTCTCTCAATACACAAAAGGCTGGAGCCGGTCAGTTTCCGTCTGGTGCCGTTCCCGTTCGTACGATTGGAGCGATCCTGCGATTGTGGCGCGTCCACGCGCCCTGTAGAACGTTACCGCGTGTTGTCGCGCATCATCGCTAGTTTGAACGCTACCTAAGCCCTGCTAAGGGGAAGGGAAACGAGGCGCTGGGGAATCGCCCCCGGCTACATTAGCGCCTACGAAGCTATGATGCTACGGAAAGCTAAATTTCAGAAAAGAAATCACTGGTGTACTCCAATCTATCGAATGTGATGGTTCAAAGAAATAATGTTCTAAAGCATCCAACATTTTTTTGCAAAAGAAATTGAACAGTCGCCATAAGAGAACCAACGAATAGTAAATAAGCGAATGGTTGCTAATATAAGAACCTCCAGATAGCGACCTAGAGTCAGCGAGGGTGTCCCATACCTCGCTTCCGGTTTTCGAACAAGGATCGAATGAACTGTAGCTGATATTTCTGTCATCCGCCTGAAATAGCGCTGTGCAAAAGTGAAAATGGTCCAGAGCGAGAACCGTGGAGCCATTCGTACCTCTTCGGAAACTATAGCATAGGTGACTGGCATCGATTTGATTGAATGACTGAGTGTCATTCCCTTAGTGGATTTCGTTTTCAATTCTTCAGCTCTGCAAACCAAAAAGACTGAGTTTCATCGTGCCATTCCGAAAGAAACTGTCACGCACTTACTCGCACTCAGATTCGGTGGCCCATCTTGAATAGCCAGTGCCGTTTCGAAATGTGAACGTTAGTGATATTGAATAATCCTTTTCTGATTCGTTAATAATAGTCCAGTAAAAATTGCAAACAGGGAACGAACTGTCCTTAATGTATCCTTTACTGGACCAATCATTTCAGACACAATGCACTTTACTTTCAGAGACAAGGAAAACATATTTTGTAAATGCATCTCGTGCTGCTGCCTTGAGGTACGGCATGTAAGAGTTGTGCACATTCGAAAAAAGGAAAGGATCCCGGCGCAGTTCGGCCTGGTGGGGACAGCAAATAGAACTCAGCGCAGCTGTGCAGTCTACCGCGCGAAGGCCTGTATTCCCGTTGCTGAAGTGGCTCACCTACACCTTTTCGCAGTTTTACAAGAAATTACAGTTCTGCTCGAAATGAGACTTTCAGTTAGCATGAACCAGCAAAAGGAACTAGCAAAAGGGCAGAATGCCCCTCCTAGGCAGAACGTTGCTAGAATCTTCTATCCTGCGATGTTTTCTGACTCTGTTCGTTCCTTCGCCTGCCTCTCGACAGGGGACAGAGCGCAAGCTGGTGTTGCAATGCAGCTCGGGGAAGCCGTCTTCATACTTTGCGTATGGGCAGGCGAGGTAGAAACTGGCAGCGAACAGTAAGACGGGGACCAATTGGCCCCTACACTAACGTTCTGTAGATTCTCGAACGGACATGCGCTGGCATCTCCAGTGAGGAGGTCGTAATTGGTCACTAGATGGGAAAGAGATCATATTCGGCTATTCATATTACTCACACGCTACGCTACGCTACTTCGTTATTCGGCGCCGCCGCAAAACTGTTATTTCTGATAAGATAGGTGAATTCGCTCTCTACCCGCTCGACGGCGGCAAATTTTCGAGAAAGCTCCGTAAGAAGAAAGGAGGCTGTTTTGCTGCGTATGATGGGGCGTGTCTGCGCGGCTGCGTTTAACACGCTGCCAAATATAATTTTCAGAAGAAGTTCAAGCGTATAACACGTTGACGACATTCTGAGCCACCGGTGGCTCATAACTTTCTCCATCACTTTTCGGGTTATTGCCGGCAGTCTCAATCGATCTTTTTCTTGCTTTCGAATAACCTGTGAAAGGTGAATGTCCAACAGGGATGAGCAAGAAAAATGTTGCTGCCTCCATGGGATATTTTGAATTAAAAATTGAAATTTTCAACTAGCTACTGCTGCGGCAGAAACCTCCAAAATAGTTCTTTTTGGACGGAACCTTGGCTGCAGGGACTGCGCGGGGCTTTGATCATGAACGTGAGATCTTATGATGCTGGCGCCATATGGCGCCAGCATCATAAGATCTCACGTTCATGATCAGAGAACTGTTTTGGAGGTTTCTGCCGCAGCAGTAGCTAGTTGAAATTTCAATTTTTAATTCAAAATATCCCATGGAGGCAGCAACATTTTTCTTGCTCATCCCTGTTGGACATTCACCCTTCACAGGTTATTCGAAAGCCAGATCCTACTTGTCGTTGGCGCCATATGGCGCCAGTAGGCGCCATTTCGGCGCTAGCAGTCTTTTTGGCACCGAATGCGATAGAAACCTCCACAGCTAGGTTATTTGACATCCTTGTCACGAATATAGTTGCCCTCCAGTTTTGGCGCCACTTACCAGGGGTCGTTCAGGGCGTGCCCGCTTTTTCGAAACGGTTTATTGCACTTTGTAGGGCCTTGCCCATGAACCATAAAAGTGGGCTTCGTTTTGGCTGAGCGGCCCCAGGAACGCCAAAAAAGGAGCGAAAGGTACGTCTATGTACCCCCATATGAGGGACGTTAAGCGCTATACTGGCGCCAAATTGCGTCGACGTCGAAAATAAGTGTCAAAATCGTAATCAGGACCATCGATTACCCTTATGGACGAACTTCCAGCCAAAAAATTTTTTCGATTTTTTGGGTTTTGGTGGACCATTTGGTCGGCAGTGGTGACCGGAGTATCCCATCTTCGTAAAGACGATGATGGAACGACGACGTAGCAGGCCGCCGGGCAGGACAGCAAACCTGGTGGAATGCCTCCCTTTCCTTCCTCTTTGCATGAATTTCATCGGCATTGTTACTTTTATCTTTGGATATTAATAAAATAGGGGGTCCCTATGGCGAGGCACTGTAGACTTCTATAGAAAGACTGTCGGGCACAACCCAACGCACACACCCAAAAAAGTCGAAAAAAATTTTTTGGCCGAAAGATTGTTTACAGGGGTAATCGATGGCCCCGATCATGATTTTCACACTTATTTTCGGCGCCGACGTAATTTGGCGCCTGGGTAGCGCTACACATCCCTTACTTGTGTGTAGCAAACGCATTCATTGGGAGAAACATGTCACTCCATATTAGCGATAAATGGCACCGTAGCTACAAATAAGTTCCATATTCGTGATTCGGGCATGGTCTGACCTATAAAGGTCAACTTTCAATTACGGTCTTGCTTAATGGTATGTAAAACCTGTAATAATTGAATAGCACTGATTCATGGAGTGTTCCCATTTAAAATGTGCCCATAAATGGCAGTTATCGAACGCATACTCACGCACAGACATATTTGAACGCGAAAACAGCAAAACATAAAAAATGCAAAAACTCGCACGCCGAGGGGAGTCGAACCATCAACCCCACCCCAACTGTCCGCTTGAGAATCCTTCACGCTATCCACTAGGCCATCCGATCGTTGTTGCTGAACATTCCTCCGATCGTTGAAGAAACCATTCCATGAAGCCGTTCACGCTTGATTACGTGCCACAAGTAAGACCCCATACCCCGACTACTTTTCTCTTCGATTCCGATAGTACCTTTATAGGGTCCCTCCATTCAGCAACTGGTCAAAGTTTCAAGCGGTTTACAGCTCGTAGAGGCTCAAAAACAATCAGTTTCCATAGGTTTCTTTTTCGCTCCTTTTTTGGCATTCCAGGGGCCGCTCAGCCAAAACGAAGCCCACTTTTATGGTTCATGGGCAAGGCCCTACAAAGTGCAATAAACCGTTTCGAAAAGCGGGGCACGCCCTGAACGACCTCCCTTGTTAGCGCCAGCGGGCCAGCGATCTTTTTTATACCGAACTATGAATCATTGTAATGTGTGAAAAGCAGAAAATTCCAAGAAAATTCTTAGAAACGGAAGTTATGGCACACATTTTGGAAATCACGATCGCGCTAAAAAGTGGGCGTGATCGCAGAGGGCGGGGCATGAGATGGCATCCAATAGGGTCAAGGATGGTTGAAATAGCAGTCCCTGCACGATTGACTAATCATTTTGCGAAATTTGCAAAAAAGTGGTCCACGAGGGACAATATGAGCCACCGGTGGCTCAAAGCGGACGCATGCGAAAGCACGCCATTGTCCCACGCGGCGCTTTCCCGCAAAACGCGATTGTCGTCAACGTGTTAAGTGACAACAACTGATGAAAAACGACTGATATGAGCGATATGTTTCAGTCCTGTCGCTTGCAGAAGAAAAAAAAGATTGGCGCCGCAATCATATGCAGCGAACCAGACTATCCTCTACGTGGAAGGAGGCGTAGTGGAAACGAAAGTTCAGGGTGGGGTCGTATTTGGCAAAAATTGTAAAAAAAACGCCAGGATGTGCTCTGTTCTCATATGACCAGGTAATCGAGGTTCGACGTAAAACTTTAGTTGGCGGAGTCAATATTTCCCATCTGATCCTTTGTCGCAGTTTCTCCCAATTCGTGGATCCCCCAAGTCGTCGCACATCCCAGAAAACGATTGCGCCAAATGAGAAATGTCGAAAAACACAAAAAAATTCCAGCTGCTAATTTCAAGCAACTGGATACGTGAAGAGAATTTCATTGAAATACTCACTTCGTAATTATGAGGTATAACTGGTGAGATCTGCTCGCAAATAAGTGTCAAGTTAAGGTCAGGTATCCGAAATTCACGCCATGCGCGAGGGAAAAGACCTCGGTATCTGAAAGATCACGCGAAATCTTCCCTTCTTCCAGAAGAGAACTGCAGCTCAACAGCACAGGCATTCGGGGTAGTTTGGCGACGAGGAGGGGTGGCACTTTGAACTTCTGCTACTTCCCATCAACGTGTCGAGCCATCAAGTAGAGACCTGTGGAATCTTGTGATGTTGACAGGTTACACCAACGAAAGTGCACCCCCCCCCCTCGCCGAACCGCGTCCATGCAGGTACCCAGCACATAACCGCACTGACGGAAACGCCTTATTTAGGATGAACATACCTAACATCTTCACCGCGTATTTGCGAATGCCACTCAGATAATGAGGAATCACAGAAGTCGGCCGTAGAAAGAAGTGACTGATAAATACACTCCGTTCTATCTGGTGAGTGTACTGTGAGAATAAACTGAAATATATAATCCCATACAATCAGTGAACGATGCCACATGAAAGTAAAACCAGTGTACAGCGGAATTTCAACGATATTACACATAACATAGATGAATACTGCTTGACCTGATTAGCTTTGATATTTTCTGTTGACTGCTCTTTTACACCCGGTATAAGTGAGAATTTGTTGAAAGCACCACGAAAATCTGTACCTATTGATCCACAGCCAATACCTCCGACTGGAACGCCTGCAACAGTACAACATGTCATTGTAAGAGTACAGTAGCTTGACCCTTCTGAAGCGTACCCGTATACTTATTATGCTTCATTTGTTTAAAAGGATTGATGAACAACCATTTTCCGCTAAGCCATTGCTTGAGTGAGAAGAAACAGTACCTGCAACAATTCTTAGAACGCGTTCACACTTTGTGTCACCATTTTGAGCGTGCGCCAGCGTTTTCTGCGCGTGAAATGTTTAAAAATCCGCGCGAAACGTTGCCACACGGTAGATCGATACCTAAGTTTCCTAGTCGCTCAAAAAGCTCAAAACGCTCAGAACTCTGCTGTACGCCCGAAGCACTCAAGACGGCTAAAGCAAAGTGTAAACACAGCCTTACTTATGTTAGTGTCACCAATGAATATTTTTTCCAACTCAACGGTACGCTATTCCCCCAAGGGGCGGAGGGGGGCATTTTCCCTCTCGTGGATTCTCGTTGATGATCTTTGAACTCCCCGAACGCGTTGCAATTCAATGTAAAGATAAGGTCAGGCTCCACTGAGCGTATAGGCTGTGAAACCGAGGAACATCATCAGTGATAAGCAGCATCGAAGATCTAATTGTAAATAGACTGGGCGTGCATAGAAAACAAAAAAGTAAACAAAGTAATAACGAAATATAAACGTCATAAACGGCAAAGAAAATCTGAAAAAGTTCATTATCATATTGGTCGAATCACTTTAACTCACCTAATTAGCAAAGGAAGCATCGATATAAATAGTGTGAATCGAGGAAAAAATGGCCCCCGCTTGTGCGATTCGGGCGCAATAAAATCACCTCTAACTTTCCAGCCAATACCATCGAGTACTGTGGAATCGAGCATTCTACTGGAATGTTACAACATTAAAAAATGCGGAAAGGACGAAAAATTTGATATAGAGTGAACGATATTCGACGGTTGAATTGGATCTTTTCAAACGTTACCCGAATCGAGTTAAAGGCAATTGTACTATTACTTGCGAGTTGACCTTCCCACATGCGACGGGCAGGCGGACAGGTTTGCAGCTGTATTGAGACAACACTTTCGCCAATTGAAAGGTTGCAGAAATGAAGCTGCACGGTAGGAAAGTTGCATATTCTCTTTGTGAACGTCCCTATTCAATACGCGACGAGCAGACCACAGACACGCAACACGCAGCACGATAAACCTTCCACGCAGCCGTATCCAGATACACTGGTGCTAACGTAGTTGGGAGGGGCCACGCGGCTCGCGGCGAGTGATGACTCATCGGCTCTTCACTCATTGACATACTTAGAGCGCTAATCTAGCAGCAAAATTAGAATAAACAAACAAGATTCACCGGAAACTTGCTGAGAAATCCCACAGAAGCTGAAAACAACAAATATTTGATCTTTTATAGTCAAGAATCAACAAAAAGGCAACAATCGTTTGTATTTTAGGCAAAATCTTCCAGCCTACAACTGTTTCTTCGCACTTCTCAGCCTTTTGTATATAGCTAGGACGGTGTTTTATCCATGTCCTAAACATGAAATTACTTCTTGCCGAGGAGAAAGCAGAAGAGTCGATGAGTCATCACTCGCCGCGAGCCGCGTGGCCCCTCCCAACTACGTTAGCACCGATACACTACCTATCCGCACCTTCTCATTTTTGGCTAAAGCGCCGTTGTCCTCGTTAGCGTCTCGCCACGTTCGCTCCGGGATCTTGTTCGATCAGGTCGCGCAGTGAGCGTGTTCGTAACATGCTCGCAACCGTCCTAGGATAGCTAACACTTTCCTCTCTGCGTCACTCTCACGACGCAGACCGTAGACGGGTGAGCGCGCTTAGCTCGAAAAAATGTTGGGAGGGTCCTAAATAATCACCGTTCACAAGACATTTAAAGCACAAAGACTATTCTCTTTCACTATAAAAGGTCAGGAATAGTTGTGTTCACTAAGCCTAGAGGTGAAACAACTTCAGTATCCCCTTCCTCCTCTGGGCTTGGGAAGTATTTCATTGCCTGACGTCACAGTCGTCCCTTCGAACTTTCCAGCACAAAGTTTCTACTCTTGAAAGTGCTGTTCACCCTTGATCCTGCAAAATCATCTAGGAGATGATAATCTCTGTCGACTGGATCTTGGCACTGTGCCAGCAATATGGACTCGTCATCCGAGAGAATCAAATCAACCAAAGTAGGAAAGAGCAGGAGAGTCTCGAGAGCTACAGGAATTTCGCTATTTCGCTACACACGCACGTCAGCGTACGGCAGCGTTTCAGGTGATTAGGAAATCGTTGATACCAATCCAGCGTACAGCAGCGTCTTGAGCGAATAAGAAAATATAGAAGTTGATCGAATGTTTCGATGTTCGCAGGCAATTTGGTCGCTGAAAACGCTGCCATAATCTCAAACGCCGACGCCAAGTATGAACGCAGCCCAAGTCCCACAATCGCTCGCAATGTGTGGCAAGCGCACTGCGTATCAAACAGCGGTTCGAGATAAAGCGAACATCAACATGTCCCCTTCGCCGTGACGTTCAACGGTGGATAAGGCGGGTAAACGTGGTAAAAAGGCTCTAAGGATGACGCAAGAAGGAACGGTGGCCGATGCAAGTGTAGCACGTTTCCTTGAAATATAAAAATCAGGAGATGAAGTGTCTTTTAAAATTGGAAAGGAATGTCGTATCACATAACTCATCAGTGAAAGGAAACCTGAACAGTATCGCTGAACGACGCGAAGAAACCTCAACATATTAAAGGCGATTAAGAATTGTGAATAGTAGGCAAACAAAAAAACCTTGAGAAGATTCCAAACAGAAACGCTCCCTAACAGCCACACACCCTCATTGTACAAGTTGCCCAAATTTGCTGACAAATCGACGGTCTATGGTTCAGTACAACTAGTGGATCACAAATCGTTCCTTCACACCTTCAAGTATTGAATGCCATCCAATAGCGGACAAAATGCAAAAAAAAACACTGGAACAAAACCGGTAGCAGACAACAACCCCCGAAAACCTTGTGCACGTATTAGGATTACTGTAAGCAATGTCTGACGAACTTTTGCAGCACTGCAGTTTCATCGCTGGTGAATCTGAGCGGCGCTCTCGCCTCGCGAAATGGACTGCTGCTGCTCACTCGTTCCAGAAAAGGTACCCAGGGAAATCTGAACGACCAGTGATTTAGCCAAAATCGAAATGCTACCGTTTCCTGTAACGAGCACATGAGGTTGTCCTATCACGCTGAAAGCAACAGAACGCATACACGTACAGTCGTCATCCTTGCACTTGATAGTCAATGCAGTACGGGTGCGGGCGACCGCGCCGCACGCAGCCGCACTGACATTGACTATCAAGTGCAAGGATGACGACTGTAATTCATCTCGTGAGGTGTTGCCTTGTTGCCTGAAAACGTCAAAAGGGTGAAAAGTTCACGCAACTTCACTGTTGTTCGTGTGACGAAGATGATGCATCTGATAGTGCCGACCTGATACCAGACGCAGGGAGGCATTCCACAAGATACTGGATCACCTGTCTTTAACAGGTACGGACTGCGCCAGGTACTGTACATAGCGCCAGGCGGCTTTGCCTCTCACTTGTTCAACTTTGGCTGCAGCTATTTGTCAGACTGCCGATAATTATACTGCGTAGTAGAAGACAAGTTTAAGGAGTGCAAGTCTTTGCTATTTCGAAAATGTAGGCGCATGTGCTTATAAAATGAAAAAAAAACAAAAGCAACGGTCGAAAATGCCAAGTAACGTGCTTCTGGCCAGACTTTTGCGGGTTAGCAGGTTTTAGAAAATTGGTGGCCATGGTGCACTCCTTGGCTCATGGTGTGGCCACTGTGCACTTCTTGGCTCACACTCCAGCACTGAATAATGCCCATACCTTGCGTCGAATGCTTCCGATCGCATGTGTCTCTTCTCGGAAAGGTATTTAGAAGACGAATGATTTGGAAGCCCGAGGAAGACCAGTCAGCGAGAGCTTACACGCCAGGTTAGGTTTATGCCCGATGAAACAAGAAACAACAACGAATGTCCGACATTAAGTATTGGTAGTGGGCAGGCCCCTCTACAGCGGGACACTTCACCTTATGACGATCGCAGCGCCTTCATCATTCACTGAAAAGCAGCAAAACTAAGACACTCTCCGACTCGTGGAACTCACTATTTAGGCAAAGAAGGAATTCCACGAATTGTGTAGGAGTGGAACGTGTCTTGAAGGCAACAAATATTAATGCAAAAAAAATTAGTATCAAGGAAACTCATCCGACTATGCCGTAACTCTTGAGACATCAACTGAAGAATTGGAATAAAAAACTACAGTTGAAAGAATAAAATAAAAATAAAACGATGAAGTACAGCTGCCTTTTCAACGGCCCTAGTCGATTGCGGTCGTTCTGCAGTACATTCTGTCAATAACCGGGTGGGAAAAGCAAGTTCTGAAAGGTCACGTCTAGGGTAACGACAAGGACAAATAATTAATGGATGTTGGTGAGCAGATGAACGCCCTATTTGGTAGATGACGAAAGTAGGTGCTGCGTGCGTCTCGGGTTTTGTTAGTTTGGAGGTCAGTCTTACTTTTTAGAGTTTTCGTGGCGAACGTAGGGAAACGACGATTGATTGAAATCGTCATTGCCATCAAGAACTGCTACGATAACACATGAGCCTGCGCTAAATGATCTCTGACCGTTGTGTCTACGGAGCGCAAGATTAGCGAAGAGAAAACGTAGCATAACTGCCAGCGCACGTCTCAGAGTAGCGCATGATGTTTCAATGACAACTGAAGAGGCAACTCGACTGCAGGCCTTAATGTCATCCAGTTTTGGAAAAAGCAAAAAAAAACACTGGAACAAAACTCGCAAAAGAAAAGAGCTTCCGAAAGGTCACGGTATGAAATGAGGACTACGATGAAATGCACTACAAACTTATTGCACTACACCAGTGGCATTGCTGGTGATTCTAAGCGGCCGCTGAAACGCATCTCGCCTGGCGAAGTGTACTGCTAGTGTTCACTTGTTTCGCATACTGGGAAAGCACAACGACCAGTGAATTTGCAGACACCGGCACACCACTGTTCTCTGCGACGAGCATAGAAAATCGTACTGCGATGCAGCAAGCAACAAATGCATGCGCGTCGTTCACCATGCAAGTGGTTGTCTTGCAGTCTGGTAACGTTAAAGAAGTAAAAGGTCACGCGTCCCTGGCTGCTTTATCTTGCACATTCTTGTGGCGGAAGGGTACACTTTCTCCAAACGAGGATGTGGCTACCAAATGCATGGAGACATTTCACGGATTGTTCGAGCGCGATTATTGTCTCTAACGTCGACAAACGAAAAGGCGTCGTCTCAAAGATAAGCAAGTGGAAAATATTCGTAAACAATCGCAATAATTTCGCAACCAGAGTGCAGAACCGTAATGTTTGAAATGGCGGTTCTGAAGGGTTGCCCCTCCCACACAAACTTCCTCCTCGCTAAGACCGTATTCTTCTAGCTAATGACCAAT